CATGTCTTGATTTCTGGAGTCATATGAAAACACTGGTTTATGACACCCCTGTTGATAATGCTGGTTGCAAGAATCGCAGTAGCTGCCTGCGAGATATGCCTGGAGTATTGCAGAATGTTCGAATGTCCATGCGCCGAAGATGTGAGGTGTACATTGTAGCCTTTGGCAGAAACTTCGAACACTTACTTTGGCCCATGTACCATATAATTTTTTCAATGTATTACTATAGCGATTTTTCAAATACAGTCTCTTTTCTTTATGGTGCTTCTGTGTACGTCACCGCTTCAGGAAAGCATTTCCGACCCCACAATGCTATATGATTTCGAGTCGTCAGGATGCCCTCTACCCCTTTTAGAAGTTCTGAAACGCTTAACTGAGACACCCTGTATATATATATATTCGTTCTTGAATTTCCTCTTTTTTACTTTTCAACTACTCTCATCCCTGAATTAAAAATGATTTGTTTTGAAAAAAAGATGAGTTTAATTTTTGCTCCTAGACCACTTTTGTCTTTTAACAGTCACTGTTGTTCCTTAAATAATAAAAAAATATTTTTTTATATAAAGAACATATAAATTTAAAATTTAGGGAAATTTCTGTGCTTATTGTGTTTTTTAAGGTTAGGAATTATGAATAAGTTCATAGTTAGTAGGAAAAAAATTATAAGTTGCTATAAAATGTGTTAAATTTTGTAATACTACTAAATAATAGTCAATAAAGAAAAAAAAAATTTGTGCTAATAATTTTTAGGATCAACTGCTGAATGTTTTTACATGGTCTAATTTTAAAAAAATTTGTCCTACAAATAATAAAGAAATACAACTGGGAGCAATAGTGACATTTTTCTTTGCTTTAATTAACATAATAAATAATTGCTTTATTAATAAATGCAAATTTTTCATCAAAGTATGTTTCATGACAGCCACACGTATGTAGATTAAAGTTTTTAATAATTGGTATTTTAAAAAAATGCTTCATAAATCATATTTTACCATTTTTTAATATCCCTTTCTGGAGAATTTTGCATTTAATGGAAATTCTATGAGTTTTAACTATTCCCTGATTATGCCCATATATGTTCTAGTAATGTTCAAAGCATTTTAATCAAGTTTTCTTGTTTCATTCTAACATTTTTTTCATAAATTCCACATTTTTGTATTTAAGCAAAACATTTAATTTCTTTTTTGTTTCATTTTATTAATTTTGGAAAATTTTAATTTGTTATCTCTTTTACAGATTCCCTATAACCAAATCAACAACTCTGATTGTAAGTTATTACCTCAAAACACATCTAATAGTTCATCATATGATAAAGAAAATAAACTACTATTCGATGTTATTAAGTACCTTGATGAGTGCGCTAATGTTGACAAATTTGATTTAGCTGGAAAACTATATGCTGCAAAACTGAGGACTGTTCCTTTTACAAATCAGCAAGCGATGGCTGAAAATCTATGTCGTCAAGTGTTAGTTGAAGCTGAACACTTTAATCTAGATGAAAAAATTTTTTTATTAAAAGAGCAACCCCTTGACCATCTTGCAAATTGTAAAACTCCTACTCACATTACCAACAAAAGTGATCTTGAACAGTCATTTTACCTTGAACTTGAAAAAGACTCTTTGTTTCAAATTATTGAAAAACGCCTATCAATAAATACTAAAGAAGACCGATTTGACAAATTTGGTAACTTTTATGCCACTAAAATGCGATCATTTTCAAGCTTTCAATACTATTGTGCTGATAAGCTCATTAATGAAATTGTCCTAACAGCAGAATTAGGTCGTCTTCGAGCAAGTTACAAACTGACGAAGACTGGTGCCTCTTCACCTCAAATTTTTGCCTCAGGAAAATCATATGCAAAGGAATACCGGACAAAAATATGTGTTTTGCCAGCTTCTGATCAAACATCTGCTAGCAATAAAACACAATCTAATAATCAGTTCTCATCTTCATCTCCTGGTAATCCTCCTCCTCAAACTTCTGCTCCTAGAACTTATGCAAAGAGATGCCGCACAAAAGTTTCTGTTTTGCCAGCTTCTGATGGATTATGTGCTAGCAATAAGACACAGCCTGATAAACAGTCCACATATTCTTCAATTGACCCATCTTCGGATCCTGATGATCCTCCTACACAAACTTTTGCTCCAGGAAAATCATATGCAAAAAAATGTGAATCAAAAGGTTCTGTTCTGGCAGTTTCTGATGGAACATGTGCCAGTAGCAAGACACAATCTAATAAACAATTCACATATTCTTCAACAGAACTATATTCAGATCATGATGATCCTCCTCCTCAAATTTCTGCTCCCAGAAAAACTTATGCAAAAAAATTTCGGACTAAAGTTTCTTTTTTGCCAGTTTCTGATGGTACATGTGCCAGTAGCAAGACATTGTCAACACCAAATGTCATTTCTATCCAAAACAACGAGCATAAATGTCTAGAATCTTTGCCCTCTCCATCAGGATGTAATAAAGTTTTAAAAGTGTCTGATCAAGAGAAAACAAGTCAATCTATAAATGAAAAATTAATGAATAATTCTGACCAAGCACTCAAAAATTCTTTAGTTAAGCCACCTGTATTTCCTTTGACAGCAATACCAGCTGCTATTTCTATTCAAAACAATGAACAACAAAAATCTGCTAGAAATTTGATAAAAGTGGTGTTTATTAAACAGGGCCAACAAGCCGAGAAGTGTGACACTCTTCCGTTGTTACCAGATTAGGCTGGCCAATTTTAATAATCTGGAAAACAAAGAAAACTGGTGCAGATTTTAAAGAGATTGAGATATTTTAAAAATATCTCAGGATCTATCAATATTTTCCTTTCATGCTGAATAGAAAGACACTTCAGCATGACAAAAATTTAAAAGCATTTGCAGATTTTGTGACAATTCCAAGACTGAAAAAATGTATTGGGGTTACACATAACTTAAATTGTTGATAAGAGCTACTGTACCTCAATTTGTTTTATTCATATGTTGTGCATTTTATTTTTTTGTTGAAATCGCCAGTTATTTTATTCTAAAACAAATAAAAATATTATGATGAAAAATGATTGTTATTATCTTTTTCATGAGCACCTAGTGCTGGCTAAGTTTTTTTGAATTTGCTTTCAACTCTAAAATTCTGCCATCTCTCTCTACTTCCATGGTTCTGAGATCGTTATCAACATAGTCCAACCATCTTGCATATAAATGACCTCTTTTTCTTTCTACTATTTTTGAAAATGTTTTGATGTTGGTTTTTTGGTGGGACCTGAATCTTTTGTTTGCTTTTACTCTGCTTGGTGGTTGATATTTACTGCATAGCTCATATTTATACCTTATTTTCCTTAATTGCTGTAAAAAATAGAGCGGAGACTTCTTTCAAAGATTTATAATTTATTTTCTTCAGAACTTGGTGTTCATATAAGTCAGTCATTTAAGATTATTGATGTTACATATTTATTTTACTATTTTAGGATATAAATATTTTGACTTTTTACAAGTAGCATCTATCTGCCATTTTAAACATATCATAAAAAGCCTATTATTTATTTTGCACTTAATATTGTTGGTAATGAGAGTGTCTCAGTTTTTATAACTCAAATTCACTGACACCCACAGAAGTTTTATTTTTAATTCCTCACCTTTTTTTATTGTTAAAAAATAAAAATTTAACACTTTAACTGTTGTAACTACTTATTCCTAGGCTTCACATTCTAACTGTAATACCTGCTTCTCTGTTCATTGCTGTAATTCTCTATGTGCTCAGACAAAATAAATAGATTAGATAAAAAATATTCAGGATTAAAAAAACTAATTCCCTTATGTAATATTTTAAAAACCATGCTTTTTATGTAGTTTAATCAATTAACTAAGACAATTAAAATGGAAGCTAAGAAACAAGATTACAGCTGTTATCATTGCATAATGTTGTAAATTTTTTTAATTAAAAATTGTGTTTTTAATTTATTAAGTAAAAGAAGCTTTATTTTTAAGTCTGTCTCATTAAACAACATATTTAAATGTTTACTTTTTCTGAGATTATTCATTTACTGCATAATCAGTGTTTTCCAGACATATGTAAAATAACAAACAATTGATTTATAAGTTCTTACTTAATTACAGAATTTTTTTTATATCTGATGAAAATTAAATCTATTTAATACTTGGCAAGCACAATTACTCATATTCAGAAACATTTTTATTGACGAAAACTTTGTATACATATTTACTTTTTTACATAAAAACATTCCAGTCACAAAACAAGTGAATTCAAACGCCTGCCGATGAATTGGTTTTTACATTGGAAAATGTGGTAAATGATGTGAAGATGTTGAAATACTATTGGTATGACAGAAATAGTTTTGAAGGAGCTGCACTTTTTGAGAATGTTCGAATAAATGATGTATTTTCATTGAAATGTCTTTTTGCCTTAGAATTTTGACCATGTATTAAGATAAACTGAACAGTTGCGGAAATTATTTGAATATAATTAGAGAATACGCTTAATTTCTTATTGTTGCAAAATTTTAGGAGTTAGATTACTGAGTTGGAGTAAATTGAATCTGAAAATATTCTTTAAGAAACAAAGAAATTTTTATACCAATCTTTGGGCAGTTGTTGAAATAATAGATGTTTTTTAGTTGGTAATAAAAACCTTGGATTTAAAGATATGTGAGCCTGTTTTTTGAATTTTCAGGTAGATGTCAGATTAAAATATTCTTTTTTTGACTCCTAATGACTAATCATATGTTGTATTAAAAATTCGTGAGTATTTTGTTCTATTGATCGTGTAGGTGTTGAATCAAATATTTTTTTTGACTTGCAATGATGAATAAGTTGTATTTAAAAATATGCTTGAATTTTGTTGATATATTTGGGCTGGTGTTGGGGCAAGATTCTTCACAAGTTTGCAAAGAAGAATTTTGCTTAAATATTTGAGTTAGTGTAGGAATGGTTTCAGGTTGTTGGAAAGAATTTTCTAAAATAATCGGCAAAGGCGTTTTGGAAAATGATGACACTGATTCACTTGGAACTATTGTTTGTAAATCTTAATCTATATTTGGATTTATTAGATATTGGAAGCTGCACAGATTTTAAAGAAGTGTTACAAGAAAAAACATCAGATTTTCTTGAAGAATATTTCATGAGAAAACATATTCCAGAGGATGCTCTAAGTTTCCCAAAACATCTTCAGAAAAGGTTTCATTAATAAGCTTATTTACTAAAAAGTACTGCAAAGTTGATAATGATCTCAACCTAGATGCATGAAGTTTGACTGAAGGATTTTGCTCTAAAGATTTTAGAAGACTTTTTTTTCTCCATTTTAGTGAGAACCTTATTTTTCAGTGGACAAATATAGTGAGGGTCAAGTAGCCACAAATTAGTACTAGTATTGCTTTCTGCCTCAACAGGAGAATCCAACTCTTTTAGTTTTTGCTTTTTATCAAGGGAGTGAAACACACCTACAAGTCTATTCAAATAGCCCTTTTCAGCTTCTACCAATACTTTATTGATGAGTTTTCTAGCAAACACTTGTTTAGTTTTTCAAAACTGATCCCAATTTATAAACAATACTTTTCAGTTGCTTCAAACTTATCTTCATATTTCCCAATCATTAAGATATTTTATAACCTCGATTAATATTTTATATGTTGTATATTGATATTGTGTCACATACTTGAAGACAAGATGGTGCTAATATCTATCATACAAGAACAAAACTAGAAAGAAAACACAAAAATGCTTATTATGAAGAAAATATTCAAGTAAACAAGGAATATCAAATTAATAATTAAAAATAATTTATGCTTCATTCATATTTTAGAAGTAAATAATCATAAGATAATTATAATAAAAAAATAACTACCAAACAATACAAGTAAAATAAACAAAATCTAATATCAGATTTAACGCCACCATACAAATAATAATTTCCCACTTTTAACGTCTTTTCAGCTTGGTACCCTCTCGTCGCCTATATCAATAATGTCAAAATAATCCTGACATTTAGTGCATCCTCTAAAACTATTACCCTAAAATACTGATGATGAGTGAGTCCTGTACAACTTCTAATATCCAAACAAAAAAAAAGTAAATTAAACTTAATTATCATTCACCCGGTAAAAAGTTTCTAAAAACTATCATAAATGGTTTCAGGACAGTGTGCCAATACCAATTTTAGAGTATTGGAAATGTGACAGCCATAAATTGGGAATCAGAGGTAAGTTCAGCACCTGGAATTATGGGATCTAGTAGTGATACAGAAGACTGGATCTTCAAATCCACATCCTTCATTAAATGAAGCAGCAGTTATGCTGCCACGGACATTAAGAACAAGAGAGAAAAAAATGAAAGCCTTGGAATTGTTAGAAAATTCAGTGTGTTTTGAGACCAACAAAGAAGAAACAAACAGAAATGTTAGATTTTTTTCATTAAAATATTTTTTCTTCTTTACTAAATAAATTACATTTAAGTTTCAGATTATATTCAGGTAGTTAACAAAATATAATAAAATTTGTACGTTCCAAGTAATATCTGATCCTTCCAGCAGCATGGCTCTTCTAGTTTCCCTTATTTATGAAATTATAGTCCTTCTCCACTGAGTCAAGCCACCTGATTGGTGGTATTCCTCTCTTTCTGTTTCCCATGAAAATGTGAGCATTTTTACTGGTTTGTTGTTACAAGTTGGTATAGATGCCTGAGCCATCGTAGTCTATTGCATTTTATGGCTTTAGTGATATCAAATTCCTTGTATTGGTAAATATAAAGTTAAACAAGGATCTCCAACTATTTTCCTTATAAATTTTAATAGGTTTTCAATTTATTTACATCAAAGCACATACATTCTCTCAGAAATTTTTGTTTGTTAATGCTAAAATCTTAAATTATGTTGTGCACAAATTCAAGTAGAATGAGAAATTAAGAGGGTTCAAATACTATATACTCTTTAAAATATCTTATTTTTATTAAATAAACTTACATTATTGTCTTTTTCATCTTCACATGGTTCAACTTTTATCTCTACAGTATGCAATGTTGTAGACATAGAAGGTTCTCTCTCTATATATATATTGATATATAGGCTTAACAAGCATAATAATATATTACATTTTATATTCTATTGATTTAGGTGAATTATATTTTTAATGAAAATAATAGAAACACTCTGTGAAGACACTCTCGGTATTTGACATTTTTACCAATTTCTACAGAAGTATAGATGGTTTTTTCAGTTAAAAAGTAAGTTAAGATAATACTCTACTTGTACCTTTCAATCAAAATTTAGTTTAATTATAGATCAATATTTGAATACATCATAAAATTTTTCCATTAGGCTGTAACTTACTGTTAAGTCTTTGCTTATTATATGTAATGCAAACACTCTGTTTCATAAACCTAATGAACATAGCACAAAAAACAGACCACCCTGAATAACTTTTGATCTAATGATCGGAGCTTCATGTTCTAGGACTCAATCTTAATGGCTCAAGGGGTGACCTTAAGTATACTAATTATTAAGTGCAGAGAACATTTTAAGTTGTGACATCAGACACAAAACCGTACTATCTCTGAATAAATATTCCTTTTTTTCTCTCGATGGATTTGGATTTCCAACCCTCAAAATATAGGGGGTAGTCGCAATCTGGAAAATATGGTCTGAATGGTTTGACAAGGCCACCCCTTGAAACTTTAACATTAAGTCTTAGAGCGTGAAGATGCGAATCATTAGATAAAGAGTTATTTAGAATGGTCCGTTTTTTATTTTGCGCACAGTACATTTACATAAGTATTGGCATCAAGAGAAATAATATTTTTTGCTGCATGTTTTTTTAAAAATATAATTAGAAATTATCTAGAAAAATTACTTAAAACTGAAGATTACTTCATATTTGATATAAAAAAATGTATTTAATATTTGGCAAGTTGTGAGTATTTGCAATATGAACTTAATGAGCTTTTGAAGTATTAGTTTCATACTTAATTTTTAAAAAATATTTTTTGGCATATATCCATAGCAATTAAAAAATGGTTGGCATAATTTAAAAGAGCAATTTTATAAAACATTTTCACCAAATTTATATTTTTGAATCATAAAGCAAGATACAGTTGTGATGTTACAACACTTCAAAAATTGCAATAAAAACTTTAAAAGTTTATTTACGTTAATTTCCACTAACTTGTTTTATTTCATAATCGGCACTGCATAGCTCGCCCATTTATTTTTTAAATGTTAAATTTGTAGCCTTGTGATTTTGAATCCAAACCACATGACAAGGGAGCTCTTTGATTAATCATCAGATTTTTTATTTTTTTTTAATGGAAATAACTGCTTTAATGTTACATGGAGAAGAAAACTATTAACGCTTAGCCACGTCAAGGGAATTTTAATGAAATCTATGATCTGGCTACCACTGCAAAGCATTTTATGTCACCACTGGGCAGATGTTAGTCTGGTTCTGAATGACTGGGAATCAAACCTTGGTTCTGTCATCAGGAGACAAGCGTTGATCTCTTGAACCATTTTAGCTCACACCAACTTGATTAATGTAAATATAAAAAAATGCACATTTTCAGTTCTTATTTTACCAGTTGAATGATCACAGAATGATTTAAGTTCAATTATCTATTGTTAAATAATAATATATATATCCATAATATGCAGCATTAGATTACCTTTCTTTCAAAGAAGTTCCAATATTTTTGTACACACATATATACTAAGTTTCATGAAAAAGAATGAACATTTATCACACAATAGCAGAACATTTGTGCAAGATTGAAGACAAATTAATTATTTAAATAAAAAAGACTAGTGATTTCTTTTTGATGGTATAGTTTAAACTTGTCACATTTTTAATAATTATTTCATAACTGCGGATGAGAAATTTAAAAAGTTTTCAAACCAAACTGGTTGCAGTATTGTATTATTAGAAAAATATTAATAAAAAGTTCAGCTCACACTCTTTAATGTCTGCTGACATCTAATATATTTTTAACTAGGAGAGAGCAATAAGAATGCCTGATAAATATTTTTACAACTTTGAAAGACTTTAAATAAAGCACATGTCAAAATAAATTGGATGGTTTTCTTTATTGAAGTTTCTCTTTTGGAAACAAGTATTCAGTTTACCCAAATTTATGAAACCATGCATCATTTTGTTTCACTCAATGGTTTGATTACAGCATTTTTAATTAATATCTAAATTTATTCATCAGAAAAATATAGTATAAATATTTATATTGCACATGTCATTTAACATACTCTGTAACTACAGTAAAAATGGAAATATTGTGTGAACCAAAAGTGGGAAAACAGAGTTCAACAGTGGCCATTCGATAGAATCAAATCCAAATCACTTTTCAATTTTTGTTCTAGCCAAAAAAATTGTCCCAAATTGTTAATAGATTATCACTTGATCATTTGATTTAAAATATTTATTTGGTCAATTGATTATTCCATTTGAGTATCTTTTTACAACAATCTCATCCCAAACAAGAAATCCATGTCACTTAAGTTTTATGTGGACATTTAAAGTTATGAGTCCAAAATTTACATAGCATACAAAATAGCATATAAAACTGTACCTGTAAAAAAGTTTCAGAATAGGGCAAGCTTGTCAAAAGTAATAAAATTTTAATTAGGAATATTTTTTTGTCTCTTCTGTCTGCAAGGAAATATTAGTCTGACCACTTTGTTTAAATGCATTTCTTTTTAACTGGTACATTTGTCACTCTTTTCCTCATTATCTTTTAATCCTGTACTTTTTACATGCAGCTGATCACATGAAAGATATGCCTTTGACTTATGTTGCTCGAAATTTATATTGAAGTCTTCGGAGAAAATTCTTCTATACTTATCTTCAGAGACTGGCCGTATATTATTTTCTTCACAATAATTGGCCACATAATCTTCATACAAACTACATAGTGAATGTTCCATTAAGATATACTGTTTATTTAAATTCTTATTCATGCTATAATGACTTTTATATTTAAGAAAAAAATGTATATGTTTATGAACTTGATTTATGTCACTGTCCGAGTATTTAAGAGGGTGGGAAGCATGGTGACCTCGTCCATCAGGAGGTAAAGCAGAAGTCGTTTTCATTTTCTTAACAATGTTATTAATACGTCCAACATGATTCTGCAGACCTAAAATGCTTGCAAATGCTTTCTTACACACCGCAATTTGGTGACCACTTAATTGCATATTGTAAACAACAGACACAGAGCGTCTACTATCACCTTTCGTATATCTACGTTTCACATTTTCAATTTTTATTAAATCAAAGATAAATTTGTTTTGGGCATTGAAATCTTGCAACTTCCAAAATGTATGAAATAAAATTTGTCTTTCATTTACTTCTATTTTTTCAAAGCATTTTTTTGGACATTTACAATCTCGACCTATTTCTGCTGATTTCACCACTGGACCTTTCCCACCGTACAGCCTATAATTTTCTCCTGAATTTCTTTTCCTGGAATTCAACCTTCTTTTACTTTCACCCCTCCTCTTTTTATGAACACATTGTTGCTGTGGCATCTCTGGAATGCTGGAAGATGCACTTTGCCCAACATCCTTCAAAAACAAAAAAATACATATTTATTTCTTGTTGACCATATTATATTTAAAATGGATTTAGAAAATTTGAGAATTTCTTAAATTGTAAGAATTCTTAAGATGACTAGCAGCCTGTAATGATTTAGAAAAATAATGAAACTCCCATTGAACTGCCTGGAATGATTTAAAAAGTAATAACCCACATAATCAGAATAATAAATGTAAACAGACTTAGTAATTAAACAGCGGTCCAGAAAATCCTCCTAAAACGTAAACAAGGAGAAGGGGATGTTCATTTTCATACCTTGCATCTAATACAAAGAAACAGGAGTTTAATCACACCTTAATCATACTTGAAACATTTAAAGCTTTCTTAGTGTGTGCAAAATTATAAACTGGCCACACTGAATAACTTTTCATATAATGATCAGATCTTCACGTTCTATGACTCCTATCTTAATGGTTCGAGGGGGTGACCTCAAATATGCTTATTAATTAGAGCAGACGATATTTTAAGTTATGAAATGAGACAAAAAAATGTACTTTCTCTAAATAAACATACCTTTTCTTCAATGGATTCGGATTTCTGAGCCCCAAAACATAGAGGATAGCCGTAATTTGGAAAATATGGTCCCAATAGTTTGGTCATGAGAGTGCTCCAAAGTTTGGATCCCTAATGTCGACTTTACTTTTTACATATTTTGCCACATCTCGAGAAATTTAAAAGCAAATTGAAAACATTTTACTTACAATTAAAAAATTCATTTATCAAATTTTTAAAATATGACTTTTTTAACATTTTATTTCTTAGGAACTATTCGACAGATTTCCCTCAAATTTTTTACTATTTTGCTATGTAAAATTATATTCTTTAAAACGATGTAAAAAATTATATTCCTTACTTTCTTCCTTTGATATTATTTCGACTAATATTAAATAAAATAATAACAAAAATGGTAAACATTTACAACATTTATTTTTTCCAATTATTGTCTTTGGATACATGAACTCTATAATTGTGTGCAAAATTTTTTCAATTCACTTAAGAAGTTCTCGAGATATAGAGAAGTACACAAAAAGTAAAATTAACACTAAGGGGTCCAAACTTTGAACGGCTCTCCCGACCAAACTATTGAGATCATATTTCCCAGATTGCGGCTACCTTCTATATTATGAGGGTCAGATATCCAAATCCAATGAAAAATGTAGGCATGTTCATTCAGAGAAAGTATGTTTTTGAGTCTGATTTCAATGAAATTATAAATTGTTGAAATTATTAATTTGAAACTAGAAAATGTAGAAATTCCCAGAGCAAGAAATTTTAATTTACTTATTATTATTTTCCTGCAAATTAGATGAAAGTTATTTACACACAGTAAAAAAAGAAAAAGAAAGAATAGTAAAGTTAGTTTCTCCAAAGAAAATTTAAAAACTGCCGCAATTTATTAAAAAAGACAAAAAATTCAAAATTGTCACACACATACTTTATCTTTTCTTTGGACCCCATAAGCAGAATATTTTCAAATGTTCTGCAACAGGACTTATTAATTATACAAATGTTATGCAAGCATTTCACGGCGAAAAAAAAAGTCAACTTTACGTTAAAATACTATATTTTCATTAATTAAAATGCAGGATCATACACAGATACGCTACATTATTTTTTAAACCAAAGCAAACATTCTTGATTTGTTACTTTTTCAAATATCATTTTAAAAAAACTTGACTATCTGTATCTTCAATAAGTGACAGCCTTTTCGCAGGAAAACGCTGCCACTTATTCAAGATACAAATTGTTCTGCAGGACTTCGTTTGTTCTGCGATGTGCGTCACAGTTTTAGGCACTTTCTGCTTCTGGGCTTTGGACAAAAGCAAAATTAATTAAATTTAGTAATAATTAAGTTCCCATTATTTGTATAAAAACTTGTGGTTCCTGCAGACTAAATTTTTCTTGCAGCCTCTTTCTGAAAAAGGTTGTGAAGCCTTTTATAAATGATGTAAAGATAAGTGAAGTAATTTATCTCACATTGTTATTTATGTTAATTTTTTTAAATATTAATTAATAGTGTATACTTACAATTTGAAATCTTTCATAAATTAAAAAATAAATAGAAGTTTGCTGATTTAAAAACTGTGTGATTTACTTATCTCAATACATTATAAAAATAAAAATCACAGCAAAGTAAGTATCAGATTAAGATCTTGAAGGGCAAGGACATCACAGGTGATTCATTGATTGAATGTAGGGTTTAGTTGCACAAGGTCCAAATGAGGACATGCTGTGCCAAACAATATGGTGAAACACAGGTGATTCAAGATTAAACTATAGAAATAAAATAGTTCTAAAAATTTATCAGCTTATAAAACGTTAAAAAAAAAGCCTAACATCTGCAAATTAACTATATTAATTTTAAAATTCTTTCTAGCTTTACCCAATTGAAGTGCATTAAATTTCTTTTTTATGACTTTTCTTGACTATTTTGTATTGGAAGGGAGAGATTTGTTGAGATCTTAAAAAATGAGGAAAACATACAAATATAATATTCAATGACCATTACTCCTGCTGTTGAAGTGTGGAACTACAAACTAAAACATGAAATATTTAATTAAAATTTTAAGAAACATATCTCAACATACATTGCTGGTATCATCATACTCTGAATCTGGTGCAATGTCAGGCAAAATTAGTTCATCTTCATTTTTATCACCATAACAAGTTTCTACATATTCAGTTGCATCACATTCATCTTTTGGTATAGTAGAATTAAATGCTGACTTCATTTCAAACTACAGAAAAACAAGAAAATAAATCTTAATGTACGTATAATGTATAGCAAGCTAAAGAGAAAATACAGTACAAATATTTAAAATCTTTCCAAAATCAAAAATTCTGAAAATTATTCTTTAATTTATTAGGCATTAAAATTCAACAATAAATATGGTTTTAAGATTTCTTACTTGTAACATACTTCACTTTGAACATCATAGTTTTAAAATGCTTTATTGATCGAAATAGTTTATGTTGGATTTGTGTTCAATATTATATTTCAAGCTCCACCTGACTAATACCCAAAATTTAAATTTTCAAGAAAAGGAAGTTTAAGGATAATATATATCTAATATTAAAAAGAATCTTAAAAGAATTGGGGCATAATCAGATTCGTATAATATACACGCCATATTACATTTTTTCATTTTATATTTCCGCAAAGGAATTTGCCACTTAGGCGAAATTTGTTTTTACTATTACTAAAAAAGAAAAAATTCACCTCTTCAAAGAAAGTTTGTCTTTTGAAAATTCTCAAGAAAAAAAAGTTCATTTTTGCTCTTTTTCCTTTAGCAGGTTTATTTGATTCTTGGATATTAGAAGCTGTGCGAGACTCCAACTTGTTGGCATTTTGGGGATATATTATTAGAGGACGCTCTAGACATAGGGATTTTTTAATATTATTGATATCAAATGAGAAGGGACCACCTGAAGAGATGTTAAAAGCGGGAAACCGTTACTTCCGAGTGATTGCAAATTCAAATTCTACAGTACTACTATTTTTTGATAGCAATTTTTTTTATTTATTTTCTTCCATTTTTTTATTCTTTTCTGATTCTTCCAGCAACCATTTATGCAGAACTTTGATTTCTAAACTGCAGCTTTCTTTTCAAAACAAAACAAATTTACAGAAAGATATTGGAAAGAGATACATCCTCAGGTGTTCACTCTTAGATCAGTCAATGAATATTTTTTTAATAAGCAAATGGTCAAGATATTTAGTTAAAGTTATGGTCAGCAAGATTATTTTTGGCCAGATATGTGAAAAATAAATTCTTAACATTTAAATAAGAAGAAAGAGATAATGCAATGAGAAGATAAAATAAAATATATGAAAATTTTTAATGACATAGATTTATTTCAAAGAAATACTCGTGACTAACAAGTATTTCTTTGACTGTAATGACTAAACTTACACAGTTTTTGTCAACATAGTAGAAATCTTTATGTGAACTAGAAGCTGTTTGACTAGGAAACATCTGCTTATTTTCCTCATCACAAGGTTCAACTTTGATTGGAACATTCAATGGCATAAACATTTAGGTATCATTCTCAAAAGAATTTGACTAAAAAGAGAAGCTATATAAGATATTTTTTATACATGGAGAAAATTACACTGTTGACTTATTTCATAATTGCATTGTTGAAATTTTTAATTTATACTAATACATTAAAACTTCGAAAACATGAAGCGACACTAGAAGCTAAAACTACATTGAGTTTACAGAAATTTGGCAATTTAAACTGAAAAAAGTATGTTTCTTATTACAAGAATAGTTCAAGGTATAAAAAGTAGATGATTCAAAATTTTCTTCAGTAGAAACCATCATAAAAGTTATTTGTTATCAAAATTATTAAGCTAGATAAAAAAATAACTACGAAGAGTGAAAAATATAGTAAGCAGAAGGGCCATTACAAAACAGTAGAATTAAGCACTTCTGCCTTTTAAAGCTTTCCATAATTAAGATGGCAAAAGTAAAATCTATAGAAACTATGAAAAATCTTAGGGCATAGAATAATGAGAAGATATTTATAATTCATTCAGAATCATGATTATTCAGATCATTTTTGGAAACTTAATTTTTCTTCTTGTTACATCTTGATTACCTCCAATATTTTTTCTTTTCCAAGTCTTTGTTCTTCTGGAAGGAACACATTTGATGAAACTTTTTGCTTTAGTCTGAAATAATAAATAATGATATAGTTTACAATGCATGAAAAGAAAATACAGTTGATACATTTTTAGAAACATCAAACATATTTCAATTGCCAAACCAATTTTTTCTATAGATTATTTCAAATTATTTTTTATTTATCCAATTTAGATTATTTTTCTTACCTATAACACACCGGTATTTTTCTACACAAAAAGCAGTAAAGTGAAACAAATAAATATTTTGCCGTCATAATGATTAGTTTTAGACATCACTTAGCTAATAAAAATACTGCTTCACTCCCATTTTATTTAGGGAATGATATATATACGTCTTAAATAAAATATTGTTAAACTCACTTATATATAAAAAAAAGTCAGAATTTTCTTTTAACTCATAACATAATTATTCAAGAGAAAATTAATTGTTAAATAAGATAAGTTCAAATTAGTAAAGCTGAATCTATCAAAGCGAAAGAATATATCAATAGTTGGAATTTAAAAGCAAACACAATTGATGCCTTTTTTTTTTTATAGATAGTTTTGCTTTAAGCCACCTTACTGTAAAAGGTATTTCTTCTAAACTTATCAACAATATTTATTGGTTGCTACTGCTCCGTCAAAATTTTTACTAACAATTTGACGTAGTTGTTGTTTTCATTTTCATAGCTTTATTATTCATGTTTTCTACTGATGTTATCAGAGGTCAATCTAGGCTATATTTTTTGGGGCTGATTTTCAAGAAAAATATTTTTGTGAAAATTTCTTTCTTCACTTTTTGGCTGCTTCCCTATAGTTTTTCACGTTAATTCCAGAATATTTAATACATTTTTATGACATGTGAATTTTAAATTTGAGTTTTGACTTTTCGACACATTCCATTTGTGAAGATTCCATCACGATTTCACATTATTCGATGATAGTTTTTCGATAATTATTTAACAATTTTTTTTGGATAATTTCACATGGTTTTTTTAAAGTCTGAAGTATTTAAGTTGATGTTACCACAATGTACGAATTTTGATTTCAAGTCATCACATTTTGACACATACGACTCATAATTTCAGGTTGTTCAAAGATAGTTTTTTCAGAAGATTTTATAATTTTTTTCTTGCTCTTTTAAATGTGTTTCTTAAAATTCCAATTTTCTTATGCTATCTTATCATGATGGTTGAATTTGAATTATCACTTTCTGACACGTTTGATTCATGACGATTCAATCATAATGTCACATTGTTTGGTGACACCTTTTTCAAAAATTATTCATCATTCTTACACATGGTTTTTCAGTTTTGAGTTATCACTCTGTGACCTTTTCGATTTGTGACTAATCCATTGTAATTTTACGCACGAATGATAATTTTTTCTTGATCTTTTCAACAAGATTTTTTAAGCTTCAATATTATAACTATCGGATTATGAGAGACAAAGAAACTTTGAATTCAAGTTTTAACACCTTTACTTTTAAGCGAGTGTCATCGTAAAATCACATCATTGCGATCATAATGAGAATTCTTGTAGGGACAGTTGTCAAGAATTTGAATTTTGTGCAGGATTTATTTTTACATATTAGAATTCTTTGAAGGGGTCGTTTTTTTTCCTTTCGAGATTGAAGTTTGTGAAGTAATTGCAAAACGGTTTCCTTCTGTATTGACTCCTGGTTATTAAACCACTGGTGGTTTAGCAAAAGGGCCAAATTTTGAGAAGGTTTCTCCCCTGTACACTATTTTTTTTATTCAATTGCATGGAAAAACAGGTTTTGCTATGCAGAGAAGACTGCAGGTTAAAATATGACTTACATGATTTCTTCTACGAGTTATTGAATATTAAAATTAAGACCATCATCAATTTATTTGATGAGAAAATTTATTTATTTAAAGAAAAAAAATTAAATTACTTTCCTCTCTTGAGCTAGAGTCTAACTCACGAAAGAAAAAAACATTGCTTGGTGTTAAGATGCCATGAATCAGTGAGACATATGTTATATGTTACATTGGTCACAATATGTTATATTCACAGATATATGCAATATGCCATTTTGATACAATAATACAAAACAAAACAGAAAATCAAAAGCTGATAGCAGCATACTATTCTTTTACATCAATTGGTCCAAGAAACCATTGCTAACTATTTTATGGTGATCCATATCAAATTTAAGTCGTTTTAGACCAACAGACCACCATTAATGCAGTCATGGAGAAAATATGAATCAATTCCTTACACAAAAAGAGTAAAAAAATCTTGGTAATTTCCATCAGATAAAAGAATGCAAAACTATATATATATGTAACATAAAAAGCTTCTATTAATTAGTTTCTTCGCTATAAAATAACTCCTAATTCCTTACTAATTAATTATTCAAATCAAAATGTTTTTTCACACTTTTAAAAACTACATCCTGTTCTTAAATCTATTTTTGGCTAAGGTATGCATAATTAAATGTAAGGACATTTTCCCCCTATAATCTTTGTGCGAATCAATAGACCTTTTTCTTAAACTTATAGTAATTCCTAAAATTTCCCTAAAATATAACAAAATAGAGGGAAATTCTTTTGCTACTTTCCCTAGGATAAAAACTTAAGCACACAGTTTTGGAGTGTGAATTTTGAGATCCGCCTTCGATAGAAAATGTCTTGAATATACTATGTGAAGCTAATAAAATATTTTTCTTTCCAACTGCCATCTGCGTGGCCTAACAACACTCACCATGACTGTTACCCTTTCATATATATATATATATCGCACTCAGGCAAGGCAAGAAAAATAACATAAGTAAAAAAAACTGCAATTTTGAGGTTATGTCAATAAAAAATATGCATTGCCCTATCAAGCTTAAAAAGTGTCCCATCTCTAACTCTCATTTTATCCAGCCGAGGACAGTTGTGTCAGTTTTGTGTCTGAATCAGAATAAAAATTATAGTATTCTTTAAGTTGATTTTTCTCAAATACTGCATTTTAGAGTTATGACACATTTCTTGATGGGGTGTGATATATATATATATCCATAAACATGACATGAAAAAGACCAAAACAAAAAAGTTATAGCTTGTAGCAACTAAAATTAAACTACTAGAATTTTTTTTCAAGTAGGTACAAAAATATTCTGGAACCATGGTTATTGTAGTTGCCTTGGATAAAATGTCCCCCTTACAAAAAAGATAAATTCTTTTTAAAATTAAAAACATTACTAAAAATACACTTAAAAAAGTTTGAATATATTTCCTTGTAGATACTTGTTGAATCTACCTGCAATTGCAGAGTGAAATAGGCTACTTTGTGTAATCACAATTTTTTTCCCTTAGAAAAAAGAAAACAAACAAAAAATGGCTAGCTCAATGGTGGCTATGAGTTTTACAGTTTTAATTTGCCGTTTTATTTTAAATTTTTAATTCTTTGCATATCTCTATCCAGTAGAAATTTGGCAATTGTTTTGGCGTATGTACTGATACGTATCCGGATCCATACCAGGCCGCACTTAGGTTTCATAAAAAATGAGTCTAAAAATATAGATATAAAACATGTTAGAATTAGAAAATATTAGGAGAAATAAGAGTTGAAAATGGCCAACCTTTTTCATTTTTCAGGTGTTCCCTTCTTCCGTTGTTCATTTTTTTCCTCAGTGGAAACATATTACAACAGTATCGAATACTACAATAGTATGTAACTCTGATGCAAATAAGGACTCTTATTATTAACTCAAACAGACATCATACATAAAATACCAGGCTATGTGGCAAAATATTTTAAGAAAGAGAGGAAATAACTAGTAAATATCTGGATAGCACGTTTCATTCTTTATATTAATCTGTCTTCCAAAAACTTTATGTAAATATGGAATCCTTATTCATAAATAAATCAAAACTTTCAATTAAAAATATCGGAATGCACGTCCAAAAGAAGAGGAGAAATTTTTTGTTTTTTAAAACAGCTCAGGTCGAGCTTGATTACGATATTTTACTTCATCAATTTTGTAGCTTACAGCTTGCATTTACAAAAACGTCTTTGTGTGTGAAAGTTATAAGTAAAAATATGATGGAAAACATCTTGTCTTCAATCTGTCAATTATCCAAAATAACTGTAACCATACTCGTTGACTGTAACTCTGCTGTAAACAGAAAATAAAATTTGATTTTAAACGCAGAGCTATAAGCGATAAGCCGAAAGCTCGCCGCACTTTACTATACTCAATACTAAAATTTGATTATATAATTGATAACTAATGAACGAAAACAAAACATTAAATATAAAATAAATATAGGCGATGTTAAATTTTTATAACTCATAAATGATTATTAAATGTAAAACAAAGGCTTATATTTTTGAAAAATAATTTATTCAGCTGTAAATAATAAGCAAAGATCAAAAGTAGTTTAAATATTTTAATGAAATAATAAATTTACTTGTATATGATATTATTCATTTTTAATTGTTTGTCTTAATATAGTATGTGTATGGAAAGAACTCCCCATACCATTCTTCTGGAGCAGTGGCAGTGATGGTTAAGAGAGAAGCTCCATTTATATAACGTGCTATTTACATGCTGCAGACTGCATTAAACTCTGTGGCGAGGGGAGTTCTTTTTATAGACAAACTGCAGGTCAGCCACTGGACAAAATTATACTGAGATTTCTTTGCATTCTTTCCCATTGAATAACATGGTGAAAAATAGTTTTTTTGAGGCAGGAAAGCTTGCAATAAAAATTTGAAAAAAAAAAAAAAAAAGCTGAGGTTAATTTGAGAGGGTTTATCAGTGCAATTATGAAGAACAGAGAAATGTCATAGAATTCAATCAATCGGTAAAAGTCAGGAAGTTATGCAAAAAGTCAGGAAAAATGTGATAATTTGAGTATGAGGTACATCAAGTTTAGTTCTTTCTTTTTTTTTCCTTTGCAAGAAATTTTTTTTTTCAACTATCATGGCGTGATTAAGTAATTTGTAAGATATTTTCTGTATAAGAATGAGCCATAACTGAAAAATTAACAGTAAAATTTACGTCCCTGATTCCAAAAATCAAGGTGATTCAATAAAACGAGAAAGAAAAATCAGGGAGAATGTTTAAAAATTTATTTTCTAAAAGTTCTTGCTTACCCTGTTAGAGTAATGAATTGTTATATCACAATATTTAATAAGCTGTATCACAATAAAAATACAGGGAGAGGTAATTAAGACGAAAATCAGCGTATTTGCGTCCAAATGGCCTTGGAAAGTATCTAGAGCAGTGTTTCTTAACCTTTTTGATATAATGGACCCCTTTTAAAAACTTTTAAGAAGTCACGGACCACCCCCCTGCAAAAAAAAAAATAATAGCAAAAAAACATCAATTAATAGAAAACATTTAATTTTATTATTTTAATATTATATAAAATTTTTAAAATTAAAATTTTTAATGTGAAGGTTGCTGCTGCTTTTCCTTAATTAATAAATTGAATTGGGGGATGGTTTTAGACAAAGTAACGTGCATATCATGTTCAACATTCAATCGATTTCGATGTTATGTTTTTATTGTCACAAGTGTGGAAAAAGATACACGGTGGAAAACGGAATTATAGATGTAGCTCGTCTTACAAGCAATGGGTAGGCTTCCAAACGTTTTAAAAATTAGGAGCAGTCAGCGGACCCCCAAAATATAACTCATCGACCCTGTAGGGGTTCATGAACCACAGGTTAAGAAACCCTGATCTAGAGAAATAAGGACTGCATATCGTCAGTGAGTTTTTAAATCTGGACATAGCTCAAAATGGATGTGTTCGAAAATAGAGGCGGAAAAAAAACCCGAAAAAAAAACGCCTTTTTAGTTTTTAACCGAAATGTAACAAAGCTTGGAATTGCATGCTTACTTTTCCTTACTTATCTTAACACTAAGCATAATCAGTACGGAACTAAGTTTCTGGCTGTAGGATCCGGGGTGGCTTGGTACATTACAAATGTAACTTTTCTTTTGCAACCATGATTATAAATTTGTAACATCTGTATTACCTTTGTAAGAACAACTGTTGACTTTTAAAGAATAGTGTAATAAAATGTACCAATTGATTTTAAATGGACGATATCGGATTACGAATTTATTAGGATACATCAGTTTATTTTTTAAAAAGAGAAAAGTACTCATAAAAGAGCTTTGAAAAACGAAATCCCACATTTTGAGTTTTGTCCATATTTAAAAACTCACTGACGAAATGACAAAAAATATTACTTTCCTAGTTCACTAATTGTTTAATGAAGTTAACAATAATTTTATGGAATAATGTTGAATTTTCCATAAAAAAATTCTCAACAAATGTGTTTTCTCCCTTAATCGTTTCCATTTAAAGAACACAAAATAATATAAAAAACTAAATATTTTTAATTATTAAATGCATAAATTTACTTTAAAAATGAGGGTAAGGAATGATAAGGAAACCAATTGACTAAGTTTGAAAAAAAAATGAGTACTTGCAACACGAGAAGAAGTGAACTGATTATGCCTAATCATGTGATTTAAATCAAATTTAATTGGATGTCTAAGCGAAGTCACTTGCAGGTATCTTGAAAGGGATGCTAATTTGGGTGGTGCTACTACGAAATGTTAAATGTGACTTTGATAAAAAATACTAATTTGCATGATATAAATCTCGATTAACAACTATTTGTCCATGTGACGGAAATATATTGTTTCCCAATCTGTCGCCAAAAGCCAAATTACGAAAATTCAAAATGTGCATAATCTCAGTTTTCACCAATTTAAAATTGGTCGTTTTGACCCCAAAACAACCGCTTAGCAGGGAAAATTTGTACACTATTAATCAAAATCAAAACGCTTGGAGGGTCACACAAATAACTTGGCTACAAGCATACAAAGTTCGCATTTAAATCCCATTAGTAATAGGATAATTTATTTAATGCATATTTTTATACAATTTTTTGGTTTAAATTATGATAAAGATAAAGCAGACAAATATTTTTTGCATGTGTTATAGTTTGGAAAGAAAAATGGCAATTTACGGTTAACTAAGGAGTTTTATCTTCTGTATAATTTTCGGTTCCATGGGAGGTCTATTATTAAAAATCTGCTTACATTACCTTTTTAATAATCACTGTTAATAATCACTTTGTTAATAATCATAATTACCTTTTGAGATCATTGAAGACTTATGAAAATTATGAATTACTCTACGAATTTTTATACCGAATAAACTTTGGGGAGCAATCTCTTTATTTGAGTAAATATTTTTATACCGTAATCATTATTTTAAAAGAATATTATATTTTTATTTACCGTGTTCTTCATTAGACTAGCTGAATACTCGTTCTCCGTACGGGATGGGGAACAAAAGGTAAATAATCAATAATTTTGCATTAATCAACACTTCCAAATCATGCACAAAATCGAAAGACACTTAATCAACAAAATAAAATAAGCAAAAATTATTCCTTTTCATTCTTATTATTTTTCCCTACCCGGTGGCTTTATGTTATCAGATTAAGATAAATATGCTTTTAGAAGTTCATCCCATAAAATAAAGATTAATCATATTCAGTATGATTTGTTGTAATGCTATTACTAGAGGTCAACTCCTGATAGTAAAAAATTGCCAAATGTAATTCACCAAAAGAAGGATTAGCTTCACATATAATATTTAAACTGTGATATTTAGAATGTGTTACAATTTTCCTCTCTTAATAGATAACTTCGAACTTATTTTATTAGTTCTTGTTGAGGTTTATAGAAATGCGCTTCAAAAGCTTTATCAGTAAACGAAACACGTGGTTTCATTTACCTTTTAAAATAGGAATTCGATGACGTTTTCACCACAGTTGAAACCTAAGCCTAACAGTTGAGAACAAAGCTAAATAATTAATGAAAAACGTTCTATAAAACTTAATTTTGATTGATTAGATCTGCAAGTTGGCAAATCACCCATATTATAAAATGTTTATGAAATCTTATAAAAAACTCTTTTGGGATGTAGCATGCAATATGGTGTTCTGAATGTTATACACTTAATTCGGCGTGAATTTGTTCAGAATCGAGGATTTGTATAAGGTACATACATATATTCTGCTTTATTAATATAGATTTCCTGGGTGTGTGTAAGTTTGTAATTAAAAATCAAGTAACAATTTATTCAGCGCATTTACGTATAACGTAAGTGTTGCCAACTTAGATAAAGAAATAGATTTGCTTTCATTGTTAACTACATACTGTAGATAGCAATTTCAAAATCGCACATAGCTTTTTGTTTTAAGATCTTAAGGAAGTTCATTTCATTACAAAGTTTTAATTTTACTTGGCTTCGAGAAAACTACTGAAGCAGATTTAATTTATCTTGCAAACATAAAAGACCAAAATCCAAGATTACTTTTTTTTAAAATTTGCCCATCGAAACCAAATCGAATAAAGATAAAAGCCTTTTCAAGAGGAAGAAGTGACCTATAGTTCTCTCTCAATAAATTTTAACCCAGGATGAAATGTCAGAACGTGTGTCCTATTACTTCAATAGTTATTCGTTCAAGCACTTACAGGAAGTTTCTCAGGAGAATGAGAGGAAAAAGGAATGGGAAAGAATTCGGAGAAGATAAATATAACGTGATATAAAAGTGGAAGATGGCGCCCCTATGTCAGCACGTACTGGGGCTTAACAGGATTAAATAGGATAAAAACTTGTTTCTTGGGTTCATTATTAGCACCGAAAATAGAAGATAGCAATAAAAAGAGAGGCAACTGGATCAACCTAAACATTAGGAGAAGAAAGTGAGATTTTTTTTGGAAAGTACTAAGAACAAGAAGTTTCAATTTAGAATTTTTGTGAAGAATGATTCTTGTTTTGTCTTTATTTTTTTGAGCTGTATCTTAGTCTGTGGTGTGGGAGCCATGGGAGTATTAAACTTGATAAGAATGATGTGGCCTTTTGTGAAATAAAAGAAATAATTTTGAGAAGATATAATAAAATGATGCAGAATGCAATTAATATTATTTTTTTAAAAAATTTATTTCTTCGTAAAAGAATTTCTTTCAGGAGAGGATTGAGTAAAAAGAAAGAAGAAAAATAATATTTTTTAAAATT